CACGATAAACATTTCCCTGACGCGGGCCATATCATTTTGTAAGTTCAAACAAGGTTAAGGAATTCCATCTAGACTTATCTTTTATCACCTAAATATATTTTACTAAAATGTACATAAATGTCATTTCGACATAATATTTGCGACTATTTTGCAGAGTACGAATAGAAAACATGATATGTTTATTGTAGAGTAACCGTTATTAACACTTCTCATATATTTGTATATCACAGCACTATTTCAAATCGATTCAGACATTCGATTTATATCGTTAGTGAATTGCCGACGCCGACGTTGTTCCATATTTGGAACAAAAGACTATCTTTTTCGATCAAGAAGATGATTTTTATTAGGTGTATATTTAGGAGCAGCTTCAGTGGCAGGACGTCACGCAACCCTGAGGTAGCGCTTTAGAACCCTGAGCAGGTTAGGTTAACCTGACATAGTAAATTCCATGCTGGGGCCATAATACTAATAGTATATATACTAGACTTACGCATCCGATGGGGAAACCACTTTAACGCAAAAAATGTCAGCGTGTGCCAAGCACAAACAGCTAAACTACTACTTGCTTCTTATAAAAAATGATTAAGAAGAAAACAGAGAACCCTAAAAGTGAGATGGCGAGAAGTTTATGGGGTTAGTGGAATATCACCATCAGGTTTTCTAAGTCGAATGAGAATCCTAGTTAGCCAGTTGTTTAGGAAACCCCAAAAATTGCTTTATGCAGACGGAAGGATGGAACCTATTCTGTGAATTGTTTTTTTTCCTATAAATTAGAGAGAGATAGAGTCATTATTACCCCTGAACTAAAGCAAAACGAAAATACATCGACCAAGTTCGTTCTGAGCGAGACTAACGCAATCGAGATATACATAGATAACTTTTAAAAGTGCATGTCTAATCAAATTGTTCATTCAGTTCAGACCTACAAAGTAGTGATTTGTGAAACGACTTGTAATAGACAAAATTGCTTGAGAAGTTCACACAGACGAAATGATAGCCCCCAAATAATTCAATTGCGATAATTTACCAAATCTCGCTCGGAGGCAAATTGTTCCGTTTAGGAAATAAAAGTTGACCCACATCTTAAAGACAAGATAACAATCACAAACGAAGCGACATAAGCATTGTGAGTTTTTGTAAATCTCTGAAAGTGATTCAGTAATAGCCGACATTAAATCGCCTCTAAGGTGTTAGGACTACTGCAAACAATGATAGGTGTAATTATTCGGAGAGCGATGAACTGGACTAAGGTGAAGCTTGTCACGCTCGGGTGGCCCCGTTGTTCAACTTCAAGTGTCTTCTTTGATTTTAATGTTAACGATAAAGGATAATTAATAATTCTAGTTAGACGCAATCTACTTATCTATCCGGTGTGATACAGGAATTTCGCATAAGTGAGTCCACAGGAGGGGAAATATTCTCAGGAGTTTTTGCATTCGTTTTTATAGTGTGAAATTAAGATCACAATCGCTCAACTGAAAAGCCAGATGACATATTGGGCTTTAATTAATAACTTTACGGTACTTTGAATGTGTGAGAAATTAAAATATTCTGAATAATTTGGTTATTATTTCTTTTCGTTCGTGAAATGTTTATATATTTAGTATAACAATCTCGTTGTGCCATATTTATGTGTCTGTCAATACAACGCGACAGTGCGTTATCAATTCGTATGTGATTAAGATCTGAGTTTCGTGCGTGGATTGGTCGGGTCATTACGCCGAAACGTATCCGACCAAGAAGTAACGGCATTTGGTTTAGCCGCGGGCATAGTTATACATATTTGTTTACATGAGCAATTAATAGAATTTACAACTTTTATTACCATAATTTAGTAAGATGATTCAGAAATACAATTACTGAAGAAAAGTGGGCTAACTCGTAAGAAAATGGTCCATACATGTAGCGATTATTATGGTGATCGTAGTAATGGGAACATAATGTTCTTCGCAAAAGAACCTACGATGGATATGAGGTATTAAATAAACAAAGTGATTTAACAAATTTGAAACGAATTTTGTATTATAATTAATAACAAAACATTAGAGGAAAAAAAGGTATATATTATTGCCTTGTCTTGCTGCAACTCAAATATACGAATGTCACTTCGATATGTATATAACAGTAAGTAAGCAACAGAAATAATAATTTTAAATACCAAGTTTATTGTCAGTAAATTGAAAGGCTAGTTCATAGGATTAACAATTTGTAAGTAACTGAAATTCACAGGCATTTTATTGGGGTGTTTTTGAGCTTTCATCTCCAACCACAGAAAAAATATTTCGCGACCCTCTTCGCTTATTTTATGTAGTTTATTATATAACACAAATTATTAATATACTTTGCATTTTTTAATCATTTTTAATTGCATATTTTTTTCTGTCCTTTGTGACTACAGAATAATACAAGTTGAAAAATAATAGTATACCAGAATATATTCAAAACATGCTATAAATAAAACTTATGAAAAAGCTATGGGAAATGAAAGTGTGTCACTCTTATAATAGTACAATAACAAACACGTTCTGAAAATTGGATTGGTAATTTTTCCGCTTTATTTAACCGAACCGTTTTATACCTAACAGAATAGAATTGTGAATTTGACGTGATTAACTAGTGATTGATCCCAATACTTCCCGCAGAGATGTTGTCATATAATTTAAGTGTGAAGTTAATTTATTCAACACAATGATTTCACTTATGTAGTGAAGAAAAACTAAATATTTTCGTTTATTGGAATTCTTAGTTCGAAAACCAAGTTCGAGACTTTTGTAGTTGTTTATACTTGATTTATACCATAAGCCATATATTTAATGTTGTATTAGATGTTATAGATATAATAATAAAGCTAATTGAATGATTAATGGAAGGTCTTTGGCGACATCTAGTGGTCCATATTTAGTTGTCGAAAAATTGTATCTACCCTCACTACTTTTCGGTTAAAAGCACATAAGAATATATTGCTTACAAAAAAATTTAATAAAATTCAAAATTCTTTACGCATAGCTACATAGCTTACATATCCTTATCGTTTAATAAAATTTACAAGTGATGCATATTCCTAGTATTCATTAATATTAATTCGTTCTTGGGTTTTCAAAGTGAAGGCGTTGGACAATGCATGTGATATTGTTCGGTCAGCACGAATCCATAGTTCATACATACAAAAACTCAATGAAAGTCGAAAGTCACGCTTTCACTTGTCGGCGATTTTGTTTTGTACATAACCGCTAAACTCATTTTTAACAAAGGTGAATTTTAGGTAATGGTCAAATTATCGAACGCAAATTATTGGGTCGAGGTATAATTATTTTTAAACAAGGCATCACATACCAAAGGCTTTTATGGGTACGATTTCACTTATAAACGCGACCTAGCCTACTTTTGAGTTTTCAATACAAGCCGTCGGATGCATCTCTCAACTCAAAGATCGTGTATTGGAATCCTAGCCATCCTATGTACACAATTAATACAAGCTGGTGGTAAACCAAAATGTGTTAACATGTCAGGCACAGAAGGTTTGTGACGCTACTAATTGAACATCCTTACACTATGTTCTCAAGGTTTTTGAAACCACTCAAAGTTTGAATTTCGAATAATTAATAAGAAGAGTTACGCGCAAATATCCAAGCAATGAAATTGCATAGTAACAGTTACATCACATCAAGGATCAACGTGTCGCAAGTGTCAAAGCTCTCAGTGAGTTGTCACGAGGTCAGTCACTAGAAAGGTCAGAGGCGGGTAATTATATCGTCTGCGCATGTCCGCTAGTAATCTGTCTAATAGTTTAAATAATTGTAGTACATTGCATACAACGTCAAAGACAGTAGAATATTTCATAGTATAGACAAATTTTTCACACTATACTACTTTAAGGTTTATTAAAATATGTGTATTTTAACGATTAAAAATTAAATTGTTCCATATTTCAAAAACGTTGTACCCCACCATTGTATTGCTATATATGTTCGTTTTAATTACTTTGACATTCAATAAATGTTATATTTCCTTCATAGTTAAGTAATCTATTATTTTAGTGTATCTTACTACGATATTCTTAACCTATCTACATATTAATAATAATAATTAAAAATGGATAGACAGCAAGCTAATATAAATTTAAAAAGGTTTTTGGTTTCTCGCTGTATTTGTATGCTTGGGGTCATCGGTACTAATTTAAATTTTTAAATTAATCAATTAATTATTATTGATTATTGCTTGTAAGTATGTTCTTATGTTAGAATACGCAGACTAAAACATAATATAATTTATTCATATTTTTCTATATAAATAAATATAGGTAGGTATGCATTAGAAGAGAAAAATTTATAAAAAATACAGCTAAAATCTGCGTCAAGCATCAAACGTTACTACTCTACAAGTTCAAGTACAACTCGAGTTCAAAGTAGAGCTTTAGATATTCAATTTATGGAGCAAATTAAAATTGCAATAATTTAAACGAACCCACTTATCGCTTAATGCGTAGGTAACACGATAGCATCTTACATCAAGCGCTATCTCATGAGTAAAAGGATATAATTATTGTATGTCTAAAGATGAGACGTAGGTCCTGGATGCTGTCAATCTTTATTTCAAATTGGTCCTTATTAGCATAATAGATATTTAAAAGAGCAATAAGCATTCGTAGATAAATAACCTGAGTATATTGAGTATTCCCAGGCATCATATAATAAGCGATAGAATTAGAAGCCAAGAATGACAATTTCTTTGCGATGTTATAAGATGATTGCCAGCAAAATTATATTTATTAGTTTAAGTCAAGGGAAGTGTAAAGTAGACACGATAAAAATTTCAGTTGTCATGTATAACTCAAAGTGTAAATTTCCAGTAGATAAATTTAAATTTTTAGTAATCACTACAAATCAATACATAACTGAAAGATCATTAAATGCATTTCATACTGGCAAAAATATAGGGAGATATTGAATGATTGTGTATATTTCGATTACCTGCGGAGGCTGAGCATGCCATGTCTGTCACAAATCACCCCAAATGACAGCCCGCTTCGCGCGATCCACAGATGCGAGAAGACCGGACTGCGGGTGCCATGACACGGCTGTCACTGCAGTTCTAAAAAAATAAAGTTGAATATTTAATATGGCTAAGTAATCTTACTACTAAACCTTCATGGTCAATTTTTTTTAATTAGTTAAAAATACATATATATAATCTAAAATGAATGTAGGAGCAAAAATATCAAAATGCCTGTTGATATATTGTAATTATTTGGAAAACGTAACGATAAAAACAACTAGGTATACAAACTCTTCGCAATAAAGTAAGTAATTATAAAGTGTTTAAAAATGTTAAATAAGTATTTAGTATTAAAAAAATTAGGAACTTTTATTTGATCCAAGATAAATTCATTGATAGAACATTAAATAAGACACACTGAGTTTAGATGAAAAATATACTTAGTTCTTTCAGAATTTCCAGTTTCAAGTGTAATTAGAAAAAGTCCAAGCAGAAATACGCCGACCAGACTCCTACACTATATTAGGCTAGAGAGGGATGACATTTATTCACAGATAATAGACTAAGAAAACCATCCATAAATGTCGTAATTGGATATATCAATAGAACTTCGAGATATGCTTAAATATCATTCGGTCCCGTTAATAAAATTGAATAATTGTTCGGAGAGTGAAGTCGTGAGTGAAGAACACGTCAGATCGGGAACTAGTGAATAGCGAACCTTGAATAGTCAATTCCGATACTGATAAATCTTTGAACTTAACGTTAGACCGACAAATATATGAGCTTTGACATTTCTAATGCTGATTTAACGCTAAGTAATGGCTCGGAAATGAAATATGACTGAAGGTATAAGAGGGATTGCGCACAATAATTTTATTTAAAAAATGAATGAGTTTTCGTTAAATTATGAAATAGGTTTTAAATTACATCGTTTTGTTATGAATATGTTTATGCGTGAACTTTCGTGTAAGTGTAAACTGCTACTTTTTCTTGCCCGCTTTCTGTATTAGTTTATTAGATATGTATTAGTATTAGTGTGTGAGTAATTATCTTTTTCAGAATTCCTTTTGCATATGACTTAGTATTTACGACGTTTTTACTTATCGTGGGTTTTTCAAGCAATTTAATTAAATGTAAGGATTAAATCATTTCTTAAAAACAGGTAGCCATAAGAATGTGGTTTACGACGTACATCTCATCTCTCGCGTGATAAATGTCATTCGTACGTTGTTAGATGGGTCTTAAAAGGAAGACATTTCGAGCTTCTCGACAAAATCTTTTAAAGGTCATAAACTTCGTTCCATAGTAATCATCATAACTGGTGCATTTTGTCGTCGTAACATTTCTTAGAATAATGAACGGTATCTATAGTAGTCTTCGTTTCCTTGAAATAGGTATAAATATTAGCGATTTCTAAAAGTCGAAGCCTCCTCATACATTATAAGTAAGTAAGTTATAATAATAAGAGTTTTATTTACTCTAAAATGTACAATGGATTATATTTCACTATTTATGAGTGAAAGTAAATCCCATCTTAGGTTAGTGTCTGCATTTCCTTCTAATGTTCTCTGTTTGATTCTGTGCATTATAAATAGCAAGTATACATTGAGTTCATAGCCAACATTTTTTTTCCACATTCATAGTTTTATTTAATTATTTCGTACTCCTACAGCTCACATATAAAAAAAAAAAAAATATACTAAACATATAGCCAAGATGGAATACATAATATAAAAAAAGGTTAAAATATTACGAAGAAGGAAAAATCTATAAAAAAAAATGAAAATTATTAAATAAGATGAGTTAGTAAATTAAAATTTAATTCATAGTAAAATCAGTTTTGTCATCATATATCACTCTAAAAATTATATCTATATTACTTCTATTTAATTTTCAGGTCGTTGGTTTGAAAACTAATGTATTTTTATTTCTATGTACGCATTTAACACTCATATGTACGGCAAAGGAAATTATCGCGAGGAAACAAGGCACGCCTTACAGTGACACAGAAGGCGGATCACGAAACATACATGCCAGGTCCAGACCCAAAAGGTTGTAGCGCCACTATCAGACGATATACATAAGCTAATATATATGAATGATACCTAATTAATTACAATTATACACCATTTTACCAGCTAAGACGTCTCTTGTCTTCAGACAGTTCATCAATTAAACCAAAGCATTTAACTCATACCTTCAAACTACTTACAGTAACTATTAGTTTAAAGAGCACCAATTATTGCGCTTATTGTATAGCGGCTAGTTTATAGCTTTATTATCGTATTTATCCTCGATAAGGGGCCGCATAAACAAGAATTAGAGAGTATGCGCGGTTCGTTTACACATACCGCATCGGGTCCGTATAACGAGCCAAGCAATTTGGTACCAGGAAGGCATATGCCGAGCCAAAATCGGGACTAAGCCCGTTTGGATATAAGGTCTTAATATATACAGACTTAATTAGCGAACCGAGCAAGACTTAAGTACAATACTTATTTAAATGAAATGTAGCTTAGCAGGATTTTTAGTTTTAATAATCTTCTAGAAACTGTTAGACGTTTTAATTAAAGAAATTTTGGAAGTTACAATATTGAAGTTTTACGTTTATTTATTTATTGTAATTTATTGCAAGAATATGGTACAAAAATGTGTAAGGTGGTACAATCGTAAGTTCGCATATTCTGCCACACACAATGGCGCGCAAATTTGTCTTTAAAGGAATTTTTCAATTTACTTTTTTAGTCATATGAATTGGTCAATTCTTATATTATTTGTATCGTACGTATCATACGTATCTCTCACGCAAAAAATCCTTTATTGAATAATAAATTTTTTCCAAAAGTAATACACCTAGTCGATTTTTAAAAACTCTAGTCGGAAGATCTTTTAATTCTTTTGGTATTTAAAAAGGTTTGATAACAGGCGTTACAATTCTTCTCCTTCCTCTCCATTACTGGAGGTTGGCCGTCAGTCTCTTGAAGCATGTCTTGTCCTGTGCCAGATGATGACTATTCCGCAGTCGCAATACCCGTCCATTCCCTAACGTTGCGAAGCAATGATTTCATCCTTCTACCCACACGCCGTTTACCCAGGATTTTACCCATATAATTAATTTAAGGAGGTGGTAGCGGTCATGGCAACACGTGGTCCAGGTACGCAACTTTCCGTTGTTTAATGTTCCGCATAAGATTTTTCGACAATAAAACTCGTTTAAGGACCTTCTCGGTAGAGACCTTCTGGATCCAGCTTATACGAAGCTGGCGACGATAGCACCACATCTCAATTTACAATACCATATAATCCCGATAAAAAAAAACTAATTGTAGTTTAACAGGCAAAAACAGCATCCATACTTAATAACTGATAATATTTTAAACTATAATAATACGATTTAACAAATCAAGAAATATAAATTATTCTTGAAAAATGTTACCACCGTGAATCTGTGGAAGTAAATATAAAGGTTACAAACGTAACATACAAGGAATGAGAAAGAGGCTCTGTAAATAATGTTTATTCAGAACCGCAAATTATTCTAAATACTTCAATAGAATAAATAGTATTTTACTGTTACTGTAACAGCCTGGCCACGGGACATTTGCCGACGCGAATATAACGGCCTGGCCACGGGGATCGGCGGTGCGAACTGCGATGCGGGAAGCGAGGCGACCATTCGCGCGGGGCCGTTTGCAGGCCACGGACAGTCACGTCGCGACCAGTAAGGAAGTTCGACAGCGAAATGTCTTTATCGAAATCATCTCGATATTGCTTGGAAAGTAATAGCTTTTGGTGCAAGACCTAATATTTGGAGAAATTGTGGAGAATTCCACAAGAAGTATGAGAAATTCAGAATATATCCAGAAATATTTTTTTGAGTATACCAGAATGAGTATTGAAACCTTCAATTATATTCTTATGAATATTCAACCAGAATTGGAGAAAAAAGTTAATGCAAATAGAATTTTAAGTTCCGCTGAAAAATTGTTTTTGAGATTAAGGTATATTAAATTAATGCTGTGGATGGCCAGACTTCCAAATAGCTGGTCTAGCCAGTATTTCAGTAACAAAAAACTCTGTATTCATTTTTCGCCGCGACCACGACTAAACTTATTTATTCCCTTCTCTATTCGCCGCGACTGCCGCTCGACTCCGTGGCTTGCACCGTACTGATTCATGCATTTGTTTCGCTCGCCCGTCGCGACGTCAGTCGCCCGCGCGATTCGCTCGGTACATTTCGCCGGTCGCATCGCTGGTCGCCGTTGCGCGTGGCTTGATTAGTACATTGCTATGAGTTTATTTCAGTCGCTAGACGCATCGCGGTTCGCACCGCGCGAATATTCGCGTCGGCGAATGTCCCGTGGCCAGGCTGTTAGATAGGCGATATTAACGGATCAAAAGATAATGTTTTCAATAAACCAATGACTTCGACTTAATGTCCCCTAGATTAGGCAGAGGATGACCACAGTGAGTCTCCATTGCGTTCGAGCTTGATCCTCGTTTTACCTCGCTCGAAGTCTTTGCGGCCCTCTTTGCCTCATTTGCCTCGTTTGCTTCTGCTCCTTGCGCGTTTCAATCAAGCGCCTGCTTGGGGATTTGATAGGAATCTCTTCGGAGTGTATGATCTATCCATTTCCACTTGCGTCGCCTGATCTGCCGGCTAATCACGGTGTTTCGGCCGCGCTTGCAAAGTTGCTTCTTAGAGTGGTTAGTAAATCAAACATACATAAAACCTCTCTATACATAATTATTTAAGAAAGCATTTAAACTGATCCATAAATAATACACACTGGTACATATTAACGGTACGTGAGGCTTTCGTGAGTTTCGACGTTAATTAAATCGTTACGACCTTTAACCGAATTCTGATCAATTAGTTAAATCAGATAACGCATAAGGGCCAAATTAGTTACGGTGCATCATTTGATAATCAAATGTTTGTGTGCCCATCAAAATTTAAATTGAATCTGTGGGTCTATCGTTCAATCTTGAATGCGATGCAATACGAGTATTTTAAATTCAAAACGCATTAATTTAAGGTTTCGTTAATTATGTTATATATTTATACTAGCGGGCCCAAGAAACGTTGTCCT